GTCCAGGCTGGAGTGCAGTGGCATTATCTCAGCTCACTGCAACCTCTGCCTCCCGGGTTCAAGCAATTCTCCTGTCTCAGCCTCCCGAGTAGCTGGGATTACAGGCATGCATCACCATGCCCAGCTAATTTTTGTATTTTGGTAGAAATGGGATTTCACCACGTTGGCCAGGCTGGTCCCAAACTCCTGAGCTCAGGTAACCCACCCATCTCAGCCTCCCAAAGTGCTGGAATTACAGGCATAAGCCATCACGCCTGGCCTGCAGGCTCCTCTTCTACCTACCCCTTAAGTGTTGCAATTTCTCCTGAACTTGCCCCTGGTATTTTTTTTTTTTTCTGACATTCCATGATTTCAACTAAAGTTTACCTTTAGGCCAGGCATTTTTCCATTCATGCACTGTAGTCATCTACGCAGCTTGCCATAATAAAATGCAGTAGATTGGATGGCTTAAACAACATTTATTTCTGACAGTTTTGGAGACTGAGAAGTCCAAGATTAAGGTACCAGCCAATTTGGTTCCTGGTGAGGACTCTCTTCTGGCTTGCAAACAGCTGCCTTTTTGCTGTGTTCTCACAGGGTGGAAAGAGAGGGATCTCCTACATCCCTTCTTACAAGGGCATGAATCCCATCATGAGGACTGCATTCTCATGATCTAATTACCTCCCAAAAGCTCATCTCCAAATGCTATTACATTGGGAGCTAAGGCTTCCACATATGAACACCAACATTCAGTCCATAACATACCCAACAGCCTAATAGGTATCTCTACTTGACTGTTACACAGACTCTTACAATGTCAACAGGTTTAAAACTGAACTCATTCTCTTACCTGCAATCCTGCTTCTTCTGGATTTTTCCTATAGGATGCCATTCTCCACTCAGTCACCCAAATCAGATATTTTTAAACTCATCCTGCACATATCCCCACCCCCGCCCCCACCACAGCCAAGCAAGACCTGTGATTTCTGCCCCCTAAAGATCTTCAAATCCGTCTCTTCTCCATGTTATTGCCATTGTCTTCACTCAAGCCCTCATATTTTCCACCTAGAGTATTGCTTTCTCTCATTCCTTCTGGATCTATCCTCCATACTATATCTAGAGTGAAATTTTAAAGGATGAAAATGTTTTGGTATTACCTGCTTTCTAGTCCCTCAAGATAAGATGCTGACTCTTCCTGGTCAGGTCCCTCCCACTTGCATTGCCTGACATGTAGTGGACTTCCTGCCTCTGTCCCTCTCTGCCCCGCCCCCACGCCTGGCCAAACCTGAGAGATTTTCTGATTCCACCTGGGCTTCTGGAGAGGCCCTGTCCAAACCTTCTGTGTCTGGGGCTTCTTAGTTCTCGTTATTAGGATCTCCAGGGATGGGAAGTAGATAAGCAGCCTTCTCCTGCAGCCTGTTCTCCTGTTTTGCTACCCTGTCACTACACTACTTCCTTTATCAGTATTTATGGAACACTTTCTCTGTGCCAGGGAAACATTTTTAGGAAACATGGATGAGACACAGCCTGGCCTCAAGTCTATAAGGGAAGATTGATGGCCAGGCACATCCAATATCATGTGCTAAGTGCACAGAGCACTGCAGGAGCCCAGCTTCTCCTGATCACTAACGGAAATTTCACCCTGCTTTGTCCTGTACAGGCATGGAGAACCAAATGCTTAGTTCCCAGCACACCCACCTACCAACCCTCTATCTCTCAGGCTAAGCCCCCAACCATCAAGATGGTCACTTCCAGGTGCAGGGTGTGGTAGAAAGCAGGCTGCTTCCAGTGCTCCCCGCCTACTGACTGACCAAGGGGCAGAAGAGCTTCCCCTTCCCTGCCCCCATTAGCTGCAGTCAGAACCATCTTTTCTGTTAAACACCTTTGCAGCCCTCCATAGGATTGTCTCCTCAGCTCCTGGAGTAGCCAGGAAGAAAACCAAGCCCACTGTTTACTTTCTACATGCCAGGCTTGTTTCCCTAGATGACTCGTGTAGGTTTGCATAGGAAAACTTGTTAGAACAGTTTGTTCTACAAGGCAGGCACTCAAATGACCGAGGCCCGCTTACCTGGGCTAGCTTCAGCACTGGGGCATCAGCTCTGTATCTCCTGCTTTACAGCCACCTGTTCCATTTTATAATTGGTGCGTGGTCTCTGAAAACTCATGAAAAATCTTATTTAAAGATAGCAGTAATTAACCTAATTGCAAATATAGAAAATGAAAATATTTCCTATGAAATGCCCAGGAGTTGCCAGATGTTTTTATAGAATCCCAGAAATAGGATCAAGGAAGGAAGATAAATAAGAAATAGCAGGCCTTTCATACACTGGTATGAAGCAGTATGCTGTGCCTGTGTTTAAATATTAAATAAAGGCATGGCCATTGTCTTCAGTGGAAAGGAAGAAATGTGGGAAGTGGAAAAATTGGATAAGGAAGCGTGGAAAAGCAGCCACCCCATCTCTCTCCTCCTCCCTGTGCCACTTCCTGCAGGCCTCTTCCGGGCTTCTGCTCTTGGTGAGAGGATCAGGCTCTGAGGGCTGGGAGATTGATAATGTGTTAAAATGCAGCCTCACATCTCCCTGCCTTATTCCTCAGTCATGGAACCCTACCTGTCCATCTAACTGAGCCTCTAATTCTGTCGTTGAAGAAACAGGGCCCAGAGAGTGAGTGAAGTGATTTGCTTCTTGTCCAGCAGTTCATTAGAAGCCCAACCTCCTCATTTCTGGACCCCCAGACCAGGGCTCTTTCCCTTGGCTGCTTCCATTCCTGAGCTGCAATGACATGGAGATGACCAGCATCCCTTTCTTCCAGTGTACCCTGTCAATATAGGCCTGTGTACTTGGCAAAACTTTTACATCCAGGCTGGAGGAAGTACCGCTTTTGTTTCTGGACTTTGAACAGATCCTAAGATGAGAACATCTTACTGGGCTAGAAATGCACTTTAAGGTACTTGAGTGAAAAGATGTGTGAAAGCCAGTGGCATCCCTAGGCTCGACATGCCTGAAAGCTCAAGTGTTAGGAAAGGAGGACTTTGTTCTTGGTGTTTTCATTCTCTCCCCTCCCTCCCGTGTTGTCCCTGCAGGCCGCCAGCTCACTGGAGCCGAGAGGGCCTCCACGGCCACTGCGGAGGAGACTGACATCGACGCGGTGGAGGTCCCACTCCCAGGGAATGACGTCCTGGAATTCAGCCGAGGAGTGACTGACCTAGATGCCGTAGGGAAGGAAGGAGGGTCCCACACAGGCTCCAAGGTAGGCAGGAGATGGCCCATCTGTGTGATCTGCACACGTGTGCCCTCAGGTCATCAGTCGCTTCCTAGCCCCTGCCGGCTCATCTTCGGAGTGAGACACTCCGTGGCACAGTGGCGGTGCCAGAGCACGCTTCACTGCCTTTCAGAGGGTCTGACTTCCAGAGGGTCTGGACACTAGGTGCTGCTGCAGGCCAGGATGCCATGGAGCTGATTCCTGACACACATTGCCCTCCCCAAATCCCACCAATATTTGATCTCCTACTCCCTGGCACCCTCTTCCCTTAACAGCATCTCATCTTTGCACAGTATTTTGCAAGGCTCACTCTGGCGCGCACACACACACACACACACACACACACACACACAGACTCCCCTGTGGCTTAGCTGATAGAGCAAAGTCAGTTTGGGCCCCCTCTGCCTGTAGTAGTGGTGGTGTACCTTTGGTAATTCCTGTAGATAGCACTATGGAGTCTGGAAATTGGCCCACTGAATGTTAGAAACTGAAAGACCACCTTAGTCATCATCAGCTCCAACCTAACATCATATAGGTGAGAAGACTGTGGCTTCTGGGGTTTCCTAATGTGATCCAATTAAGAAACTAAGAACTTGAGACCACATTCCAACCTGAAGCCAAACCTAATTAAAAATATTTTAAACCCAGAAGCAAAATTACTGACCAATAGCTCTACCCTTAGATTCCCAGGCAGTTTATATCATGGCACCTCTCTTTCTTCAACATTCATGTCTTATCTCACGTGGAGGTTTGGAGGGCAGTTCGGTTCTAAATTGTCTGCCTGGGGTTTCCTTTGGAACCAGATTGTCCTCTACAAGTGGAAATAGCCCTGTGTCACTGGGGGCCTTCCTTGTGTGTGTCTGAAGAAGTCCCCACAGCAGAACTGCCTGGAACAAAATGCCTTTCCCTGCTATTGAACTCGATGAATCGTAGAAGCCATCTTGGTAAAAATGTCCACAGGAGAGGGAGACAGAAGGAAAGGAGGGAAGGACACAGGAACTTCTTTCATCTAACAGGATCTCTCCAGATCATTATGTATTTTAGGATCCAAACTTCTTTGTTGATGGTTCTCACCAGAGGCAGTGGAGGGCAGGAGGTAGCCCCCTCACCTGGCCCCTTCTTCCAGGACCCAACTCCAAACTTCTCCCAACAAGGGAGAAGGAACATCTCAGACCCTGGAGGAGGGAGCCCTAAGGACACAGCGGAGTAGAGGATTGAAGCTGTCTCCTTCCTGTTATCATGGTAGGGTGGACGGAAGCTATGTTTTTCTAAAATAGATTCTTCTAAGTCTAGAACCTCAAGGAACTCAGTGACAGGGTATCATTGAAAGTGGTGGGCAAGAGATGGAGCAGTATCAGCCATCAGTCTCCCATCATGCGGGGTCAGTTACCGAGGTGTCCCCATATGATTTTTTGACTGTGTGGTATCAGCCCAGGCAGCTACACCATTTCCTTCCTGGGCCTCTACTCCCATTTTCATTGAAGATGCAGTGCTGTCAGCTTATGGGTTGTAAATGCACCAATTTACTCCTCCCAAGTGCATGCCAAAGAGAGGGAGGCCCCTCAAGATGGCTCCTGCCACTTGTCATGTCCTGTCTTCTCCTTCCGCTCCAGGTTTCGCACCCCCAGGAGCCCGTGCTGACAGCCTCACCCAGGATGCTGCTCCCTTCTTCTTCCTCGAAGCCTCCAGGCCTGGGCACAGAGACACCGCTGTCCACTCACCACCAGATGCAACTCCTCCAGCAGCTCCTCCAGCAGCAGCAGCAGCAGACGCAAGTGGCTGTGGCCCAGGTTCTCCTCAGCCTCCTCCCTACTTCGCAGGCTCCACTCTCATGGGCTTGATGCACCTTCCCTAGCAAGGGGCTCAGGACAGGTTTAAAATCTAGGGAGTCATAAGGAATTGCTCATGCTATTGAATCATTGCTTGTTGGGGAGCGGGAGCGGGATAGATGGGGGATGCAGTTGAAATGGAGAGGCACATTTTGGTTTCCCATGTATCCCCTGCTCTGAGCTGGGCTTGGCTGGCTTGGCTGAATGTTGTTAATGACTTGAACTGACCAAGGGAAAAGATGCACACAATTCCACCCTTCCTTTCCTGCCTTATTTTCCTGATGTTTGGGGCGGGAAAGTGATGCCTTTGGAGTCAGAACAGTTGTGGCTTTATGATACCACTCTTAAAACAGCTGAAAGTATGAATTTGTGTCAAACACCGTTGTAAAAAGACTACTACCCCTAGCATCCCAGTCTCCATGTCTATAATAAGTTTCCCAGTCTCCATTATGATCTACTTATTCCAGGCAGTATTTGATTGGAATTCATTATTGTAGGATTTAACTTACAGGAATTTAGGTATATTATTTGAGCCGTAATGAAAAGAATTGACTTAGATCTCAGAATCAAGGTGGTGTTTGTGCCCCAAAAAACTTGTTGGGCTGCTGCTACATTGTAGGGGAGGGTAAGCTGATTTCCCTTGCTGCTTTCAGCAGGGATTCCTCCTGTTTGCTTTCTATAGAGGGCGCTGTAGTCCACATCTTCCTTGGGACTTAGGAGTCTGAGCTTCCTCTCTACCAGGGTCACTCAGGGAATGGTGAAGACATTCATTCATACCCAAGGCTGAATCCTGAGGCGAGAGCCAGGGTCAGGGCCTGATGAGTACATGAAGATCTTAGGAGAGGGGGCAGTTGGGGCTTGAGAGAATTGGTAAAGGATCTGGAAAGGCAGCCTGCATCAACATTCTAAATTTGCTTGACCAGACTGTTGACCACTTAGGTTTTCTGCATTCTAGAATGGCGGGGAGCAGACTTCTCCAGGGAGCACTTATTGCTGTCTGTTATGTCTTCTGCTTACTCTTGTCCTGGCTCTTGAGTGGACTGAATCATTCAGACAGAGATATCCTTTCCACCTTTCCACCTTGAGGAGGCACGCGGCGACCTGGCCATGACAGGATCTGCTATGACTCAGGGTTTGAAGAAGACCTACTTGTAACACGGTCTCCTGACCTGGGCCTGAGGTGCGAGGCTCATGGATGACTTTTACATCCAGGTTTCAGGAGAGTAGAGTCAATGGGACACAGCTCTCAAGTTATTGGAGTCTTTTTAAAAAGTCTTACCATGAAACAGAAGGACATCTTGTGATGCTAGGAGGATTTGCAGGTGTTCAAAACAGCAACAGAGAGGGGGAATGTCATTAATGGCTTCTTATATTTGGAGAAAAAAATCATTTCTCTTTGTCAAATAAAAGAATCCATCTCCTATCATTATTGATGGCATGGCAGTCTGAGAATCCTCTCCCTAGCGTGATGGCTGACAGGAGCACAAAGACTAAGCACTCCAGCACGGGTCCATTCTCAGACTCATTTCATTTCCACAAGTTTCCCATTGAATACAGATCATAATACTTTTATTTTGTAGCGTATCAATTACCAAGTAATTATTATTTATGTAGGAGTGGGCTTGATACATATTCATGATATGATTTTATCAAGGAGGCATTTGAATTTGAAGTCACTGCCGAGTACTAGAGAGAAACTATTTGCAAATGTGTAATCCACACAAGAGTGTTGTGGTGGTGGAAGGAAGCATTCAGTCTACAAAGCAACAAGACATGTAGCTTATCACAGGTCTACCACAGTCAGGACGAAACCCTAAGAGTGGTTTTCTGGTATAGAATCAAGTGTCAGTCTCCATGGGAAATCCTGCCCTGGCCCTGTTTTAATTGCGTCTCTCCTAGAAGACAATGAATCTAGGGGAAGGAAACAGTGTGGTATTAGGGATTTGCTTCCTGAGCCTCTCTCAGTTCTAGACATGTCCGCAGGCTGAGCACCCTTAGCCTCTCACTCACTTGGAATCTGTTGAATATAGTTGCCCTGCTTGACTCTCTGTACAAGCAGTGTGGTGATCAAAAGGCCACTATAGTGCGTCTGTGTCCCACAGTGGTGAGATGACTTTAGGGAGAGTCTTAGGCTACCAAAATCGTCAGATAGGACAGGACCTTGGGGTCATCTGATAGGTTCTTGAACATACTCCTGTACCTCTGTCTGCCATGCCTATCTGTCTCTGACTACCTTCTTTCTGTTCGCATCTTGCTTTTGCTGTCCAGGAGCACAGCAGGGATATTGTACCTTTCCGCTGGCTTTCAGCTCCCCTGTCCTGCAGACGGATTTGGTCCTAAACTGACCTTCAGTTAGAGGTTTCTCTTCACACTGCTCTTTCTTCCACTTTCTTTGTAGTGTTTAATCCAAGGGCTTTTTATTAGTGTCTATATCCTTGGGTAAAAGCAATTATGTAAGATGTAGCCGGACTAATAGGTGTCTTGGTGTCTTTCACACATTTGAAATAGACCAAGTATAGCAAGCTTGGTTTCTCTGCACCGGTGGGGCTGATTTCAGTTTCCAGCACGAGGTCAGCTCTTACTTGTTCTGTCAAACTCTGTTGCCACCAAACTGCAAGGCTTCTGTCTGTCTTTATTAAACTACCAGCAGTCCCCAGAATTCCAATGAGTAAAACTGTGACCTCAGCCTTTCAGGTGGGAATAGTTTTCTCGGAGAGCATCCAAATCCTCCTGTGTTGTTCCTGGGTAAAAATCTCAGGATAAAGACAGTTTCTTGCAGACAAATGTACCCTTGAGGTCACTTGTTGCACTATTTATGTTCCCCCACCCCCACCTCCCATTTCTTTCCACAGGCCAGTCTAGTTCTGCTGTTGCCATGGGGACCAGGCTTAGGTCTCCTTCACAGTGTCCTGATTTGGTTTAAGACCGCAAGACCTCTCCCAGCCTCACCCTAAATTAGTTCTGAGCTGGTCTCGAAGGGGCCCGCCCTGACCTTAAAGGTATATGGGCAAAGGTGGTATTCAGCTGACTCTTAAGTATTTCCAGGTTAGACCTCAGTGTGTAAATAGTGAATACCCAAGTCCCTCTGACCACTCTTCCAACCCAGCATGAGGCTTGCCTGGCTGCACTAGCTTCCTGCTTTTAGGTGGACCAGAAGTTCAAGGGTGTGAATGAGAGTATAGCTAAGCCTCAAATCGAAGCTGGGATGTAGCTGGCACCTGCATGGCCGTGGGCTGGGCCGACATAGTCTCAGAACTGATCTGGGCACTGTGGCTGATCGGCAAGAGTTAAGTAGGCCAGGTCTGTTCACAGTTTGCCAATTCCCAGCCTTGTTCATGAGGAAAGTGTTAGTACAGTTCAGTATTGCTATTTAAAGATTTCTCCTCTACCTGCTGCCACTTCCGCTTGTTCAGGAACAAGGAATTGGTTATTTATGCTTCGCAATCATGTATGCTGTAGTTAGAGGAACAGTGCTAACAAAACTCCGCATCCCCACCCGAGGCCCTCTATTTAGCATCTGTCCCTGTGGCTTCTCCCAGTCCCCAGAACCCTGGTGTGCACTGCCCAAGTCCTTGCCATGTGCATGCTGAGACAGCGGCACCTGCCTCTGCTTCTGTGTCCAGTGTGTGGGGGGGGCAAATTGCTCTGGTTCTCTCCACTGCCATTTCCATGTGCTTGCTACTCCCTAACTTCAGCCTGGCCCTGCCCTCACTTCTGATGGAGGAGCTGGAGTCCAGGCAAGTAAGCTGGAGAGTGAGGGGGCCAATGGTCTGGTGTGGCTGGGTGGGTTGAGGGTGGGTTTCAGAGTCTGGGGAAGCAGTGTAGAGCTGGAGGGTGCAGGGCTGAACTTTTGTGTGTCATGATGAGGCCAGAGTGCAGAGCTGGACATCTGAGCCCTGGCACTCCAGGCATGGCCTTAGTGTCACATCACTCTGTGCCACATCACTAACTTAGTATGCAAGTACAACATTCATTGCCAAAGACAACACACTTCTGCAAAGGAGACACTAATTTGTACCTTTCCAGAAAGAAATATGGTCTACTTTTATGAAAGGGGTTTAATTCTTTGAAAGAAAAGCGTGCTAAATCCAAAAAACATCCCATCTGGTGGGGAGGAGGTGGTGGTCTCTGCCCCTGTTGTATGAATGGGGAAACAAAGCACAGAGGGCTGTAGCAGACTGCCCAAACCAAGGCTTCACATAACGCTGCCTCATTTCAGTGCTTCAAGTTCAAGCCTACATAGTTATAAAACACTGCGCCTCAAAGTTAAAAGAAGTCCAGGCCATTTTGTCTCAGTGTGGCCTGATTTGGGCTCTCCTGCAGCACAGCCTGCCACAGCATGGGGTTTGAGCCTTATGCCCAGTACCACTTTTGACAGCTGCAGAAGCAGAGGGCTCATTAGTGCTAGCTCAGGCAGTGGCAGCAGCGAGTGCTCACATAGTCGCAGGGCTTGAAAATACCTGAAATAGTATAACTGGTTTTACAGAGGTAAAACGCCCATTTAATCTGGTACAAGGAGCATTTTCTCATGGCACTTAGTGCCAGTGGATCTGCGATGGGAAGCAATTAATTCAAGGGTCTTCTTTTAGGTATTGCTGGTACTCCACCATTGGTACTTGGGTACCTGCAAAACAAGCTTTCAAGTTTTTTCCTGGCTTCTGTAAGAGGGGACTCTTCCTTCACCCTCAATTCTAATTCTCTGACTTCACAGTGGGGAACTGAGCCATTAACAAATTCCCTCTAGTACTGACCACGATGTCAACCTGGATGTGGAATTATCAACTGTCTGATCCTCAAGTCAGTCCTATTGGTTGACAGATGGAGAAACTGAGGTCTGGAGAGGAGTGAGTTATCTACAGTTGCCTAGGGAGTACCCAACAGACAAGCACTCCAGCTTCTGGTCTGGTGCATTTGAATGGCCTGTCCTGTTGGGATGTTCAGATTGGGAAGCAGGAAACTGACTCTGGGCTGGGTGCAGTGGCTCACACCTGTAATCCCAGCACTTTGGGAGGCCAAGGCAGGTGGATCACTTGAGGTCAGGAGTTCAAGACCAGCCCAGCCAACATGGGGAAACCCCGTCTCTACTAAAAATACAAAAATTAGCCAGGTGTGGTGGCAGGCACTGGTAATTCCAGCTATTTGGGAGGATGAGGCAGGAGAATTGCTTGAACCCAGGAGGCAGAGGTTGCAGTGAGCTGAGATCGCACCACTGCACTCCAGCCTGTGTGACAGAGTGAGTCTCAAAAAAAAAAAAAAAAGAAAGAAAGAAAGAAAGAAAAGAAACTGACACTGCAGTATGTGTGCAGAGAGCCCTCAATAAGTGCCAGTTAGAGATATGCAGGATTCTCTGCTTTCTTTGTTTATAATCACCAAAAAACTTTGTTCCACATTTCTCTCTGTTTGGTTTGGTTCCAAAGAAAATGGAAGATGAATAATTTAGTAATTTTATTTGCTCAGTAGGTTCCTTTCGATGACATTCTTTGTTGGGATAAGTAACGGTACTCATAAGTGCAAGATTAAGCTTACCCTTCTCTGAGGCTTATCTGTGGGCTTCCCACAGCAGTTGTCCTGTTCCTTAGAACCAAATAGATTTGGGGGATCCCAAGCTGAAATTTCTCCATGCCTCCCTTTCCAAGGAGGAGAAAACCTTAATAGCCACCCATCGTCTGACATCCAGATTAAAATATTATTGACATTTCTTTCCCTGTTGAGTGGATATAGGAAGAAACAAACTCAGTTTCTTCCTGCTATACTGTCACAACATACTTCTATGACCAAATGTATGGGACTTTTTCCCACACACCAAGCAAGCAAGCAGTTCTGCAGAGGACACGCAGTGTCCTCTAACTCAGTTTGATTCTGATACTATCGACCTGGAAACAGCATCAGATCCTACAGTTTGAGGGCTCAATCCTGCAAGACTTTCCCCCATTTCAGACACCAATTACAAGTAATAGTTTGTCACCTGCACCTCTGACCAATTGGCTATAAATTGGTGTTCCCTCTACCCTCTTCTTGGACTCAACTGATTTGCTAGAGCAACTCACAGAACTCAGGGAAACACCTACATTTACTGGTTTACTTTAAAGGATATTATAAGGGATACCAATGAACACCAGATGGAAGACATGCATAGAAGGGCAGCTAGAGCTCCCATGCCCTCCCCAGGTGCACCACCCTCCAGGAACCTCCAAATGTTCAACCTGGCAGCTCCCCCAATCCAGTCCTTCTGAGTTTTTAATGGAGGCTTTATTATGTAGGCATGATTGATTACATCACTGGCCACTGATGATTAGTTTAACTTTTAGCCCCTCCCCTCCTAGAGGTTAGAGCGTGGGACTGAAAAGTCCCAACCCTCTAATCATACCTTGGTCTTTCCTGTGACCAGCCCCCATCCTGAAGCTTCCAGGGGGTCCCCAACCACTAATCATCTAATAAGCATACAAAAAACTTTCTTACCACTCTGGATATCTCAAGGTTTGGGGAGCTATATGTCAGGAAACAGGGATGAAGACCAAACATGTATTTCACTGTATCACACCTGTTCTCACCCCTCCCCAGATCTTTTCTCAATTAATATGAGACAAAAAAATGAGTCTGACTTCTAGACCAAAATGTCTTCTGTCCTTAGCAGCTTTATGGAGGACAGATTTACTTTAAATTCCTTAGGCATTATGCCCCTATGGCTCCACTCAATTAGAAACAGGGTCAATGGCAAGGTCAGGGCCTCCAATCTGGGCAAGAGGGAGGCAGCCACTGTATCCACAAGTGTAATTCTCTGAGTGCTGGTTGCTGGGAGGGGCATGCCCTGGGCCAGCAGGTCACTTGGCCAGGGGTGGCCAACTGTGAGGTTAGTACTGCCCTTTACTCCCTAAAAAAACTGTGAATCTCTTCAGAGCAAACTCCTCTTCAGAAATTTGAGCATTTGTTTTCTGAGCAAGAGAATCAGCTAATGCTTTCGACTCCCCATCCATCTTCCTGCATCCTCGTCACACCTCTCCTGCCCCCAGTCACCTGGCTCTGTCTTTACCCACACCATGGTTTTGGTACAAGAACACCCTTTTCCACATAAGCTACATTGATTCAGGCCATAAAAATTCATTAGTTCCCTTTCTTCGGGAGCTTTCTGAAACCCTCCCTGGAGAACCCTTTATTCACTTCTTTGCACAAGAATCACATATGTGTGAACACTAGTATTGGCCTTCTAACTCAGTTTCTTCAAACCAGGGTCCTGGTCTGGTTGCCCCTGTCTCCTCCCACTGAGTTTCATCTCCACATAAGGATTGCTCACCAAGAACAGAGATGTTGACACCACTGGGCCTCAAGCATGCTGAATGCATCGCTGCTGGCTGCTCTGCCATGAGAACGTTGGAAATTGATGAGGGTGCCACAAACTGTTCACCTCAGCCCTTCTGGGCTGGTTGGAGGAGGCCCTCTCATGAGTCAGTCAGCAAATGTTTAACCCCTACCAGGTGGTCCTGGTGGTATGTGGTATGAATCATGGTCCTAGATGTCTGCCATGGCAAATAAAAAGGGAAGACAGGGAAAGAAGCTGCCACCTACAGAGTGGCTAGATGACAGCTGCATCACTAATTTAAAAAGCCATGTGTAGTGCTTCCTATTTCTCACTACTTTTGGGTGAGTGGGGGAGGGAGAAAGATTATATGGGCTTCGTTGTGACACTGTTCTTAGCCAGTGGGTCAATAGATCAGTTTTGGTTTTGTTTTTTAGAAGACGGGATGAGAAAAGAGTGTGCCCCCTTCCACCTCCAACGTGGCATATGCCATACTAGGTGCTGAAGGAGTTCTCTAAGCAGGGATGGAGCACTGTGCGTGTGTGTGTGTGTGTATGTGGTGGGGGCTGGGGGTCGATGGCTCTTTCCTGCTTCTTGCCCTTGGTATGGGGCCCAGAGTGGTACCTTAGTGATACATCATGGCCCTCCCTTGGGACACACAGCTTCACAGGGTCAGTGAACCCACTCCTTTCGGCTCCTCCTCTGGAATGATAAGCCCAGATGCCCATTCTGCCATTTGGAGCTCTTTGGAAAAGAGATCCAAAGCCCGGGAAGGTGCTGCTAAGCTGGTCTGGGAAGGGCTTTTGCAGGGCACCGGCGGGCAGAAGGCAGGCATCCCAAAGGGCTTCTTCTTGAACTGAATGTGGAGGGCATCTCTGGTCCCGGCTGTCTGGCAGCGACTCTCATGTGCATTCATGTCCCTCTCTTCTCTCTGTCCTGTCTTCTCTGCTGCTGCCTCTTTTCTGCAGGTACACTTGCTGAAGGACCAGTTGGCTGCTGAGGCTGCGGCGCGGCTGGAGGCCCAGGCTCGCGTGCACCAGCTTTTGCTGCAGAACAAGGACATGCTCCAGCACATCTCCCTGCTGGTCAAGCAGGTGCAAGAGCTGGAGCTGAAGCTGTCAGGACAGAACGCCAGTAAGCCAGTGCCCTCCCCAGCCCCGCTTCCTCTGTGAAGGCTCTGGAAAGAGTGTTACTTTCCTCAAGTTTTTGGTGGTGCTTTCTTGGACCCCTGACCTGCCCCTATATTCCAGCAGAAAACATAGGCAGCTTTGTTTCCCCATTAGTATACTTAATGAATTACAGAATCGCATGCCCAAAGGAGATCTCGGGTGCCTTCTAATCCAGGCCCAGGGCTGGACTTTGAATGTCCCCGGAGTCACTGCTATGTGCTCATTCAGTCTCTATTTGATAGGGGCTCAGGTACTCTATGTCCTAGGGCAGCCCATTTCTTTCTCAGAGAGCTTTTGCAACCACCATACAGTATACTCGGCACCTATTGGGTGTCATGGTCTCTGTGAGCTCTGTGGGAGACAGCAAATTGTTTCTTAGTTTACTATTCTGCACTATGTATTTCAAAACTCTGTCACATAGAAAAAGCTGGGAGCAGTATATCTGTTCAGTGGGTAAGGCAGTGGAATCACTGGCTGCACAGCTTTGCTGGACAATGGCAGAGGTTGCCTGGCCCCTACTTGAGAGGCTTTCTCTACGCTCAGCACCCCCAGACTGGACTGGACAGCTGTAGATTGCAACACATTTTCACGCCTTCCTCTTGAGCCTTTCTGTGGGTTGTATGCATGCTCAGGGTGTGTGTGGGCTGTGGACCAGCAAATACCCATTGACCACACATTGTGCTAGAAACTGATAGAATTTTTTGCATGTGAGATCATTTAATCCCTGTAGTTCGGCTGCAGAAAAATGGGATGCCATTTTACAGATGAGGTAACAGATTCAGGGAGGTTAAGTAATTAGCTCAAGGTTACAGGCCTAGCAAGGAGCAGAGTCAAGATTCAAACCTAGATCTGATTGCAAAACTTTGTTCCAGCTATACCAGTGGTTCCCCCAAACTATCCCGTGAGCTCTTTTAAAAATACATCTTACTGGGTCCAACCTACAGAGATCCTACATCATTGGGTCTGGGACTGGTCTGGGAGCCTGTATTTTTAAAGTAACCCAGAGGTATGGATTGGAAACCTTCACCACTCTGGAAGCCTCTCTGGATTTTCCAGATTATTCATTGAAACTCTGCTCTATCCTAATTAATGCTTATTTATATGATTGTACTAAAGGTTACCACAGGCTTCTAACATGGTTCTCTCAATTGGTACCTTTTTCCTACCACTAACACTATTCAGAGCCTTTAGTGGCTTCCAGAACCATCATAAGGTTCTCATGTCCCCGCCTTTACCACCTCCCAAAGCTCCTCCCCTCCAGCGAGGTGTGTCTGGAGCTATGTGGGGGCGCCAGGAAGGGGTGAAGAGTTAAGCGATCCAAAGCCCAGGAAGGTGCTGCTAAGCTGGTCTGGGAAGGGCTTTTGCAGGGCACCGGCGGGCAGAAGGCAGGCATCCCAAATCAGAAGGCGGGCATCCCAAATCAGCAACCTTGCCTAACGCTGCCCCTCTGCTACCTCTTGTCTCCCCTGCAGTGGGCTCCCAGGACAGCTTGCTGGAGATCACCTTCCGCTCTGGAGCCCTGCCCGTGCTCTGTGACCCCACGACCCCTAAGCCGGAGGACCTGCATTCGCCGCCGCTGGGCGCGGGCTTGGCTGACTTTGCCCACCCTGCGGGCAGCCCCTTAGGTAGGCGCGACTGCTTGGTGAAGCTGGAGTGCTTTCGCTTTCTCCCGCCCGAGGACACCCCGCCCCCAGCACAGGGCGAGGCGCTCCTGGGCGGTCTGGAGCTCATCAAGTTCCGAGAGTCAGGCATCGCCTCGGAGTACGAGTCCAACACGGACGAGAGCGAGGAGCGCGACTCGTGGTCCCAGGAGGAGCTGCCGCGCCTGCTGAATGTCCTGCAGAGGCAGGAGCTGGGTGACGGCCTGGATGATGAGATCGCCGTGTAGGTGCCGAGGGCGAGGAGATGGAGGCGGCGGCGTGGCTGGAGGGGCCGTGTCTGGCTGCTGCCCGGGTAGGGGATGCCCAGTGAATGCGCGCTGCCGAGGAAAATGCCAGCCAGGGCCCGGGAGAGTGTGAGGTTTCAGGAAAGGATTGAGATTCTGCTTTGGAGGGTAAAGTGGGGAAGAAATCGGATTCCCAGAGGTGAATCAGCTCCTCTCCTACTTGTGACTAGAGGGTGATGGAGGTAGGGCCTTCCAGAGCCCATGGCTTCAGGAAAGGGTCTCTCTCCAGGACTGCCAGGCTGCTGGAGGACCTGCCCCTACCTGCTGCATCGTCAGGCTCCCACGCTTTGTCCGTGATGCCCCTGTACCCCCTCACTCTCCCCATCTCCATGGTCCCGACCATGAAGGGAAGCCATCCGTACCTTCTCAGGTACTTTGTTTCGGATATCAGGATGCTATGAGTTGCCTAACCCTCCCCCTACCTTTATGAGAGGAATTCCTTCTCCAGGCCCTTGCTGAGATTGTGGAGATTGAGTGATCTGGGCTACAAAAGCCAGGCTAGTCCTTGTAGTGTGAGCATGGAATTGGAATGTGTCACAGTGGATAATCTTTTAGAGGAACTGAATCCAAACGTTTTCTCCAGCCGGACATTGAATGTTGCTTCAAAAGGAGCCTTGAAGCTTTAACATGGTTCAGGCCCTTGGTGTGAGAGCCCAGGGGGGAGGACAGCTTGTTTGCTGCTCCAGGTCACTTAGATCTGATTCTTGTTTTGAAAGCCCTGCCCTGCCCACCTCCTGCTTGTAGCCCAGCCCATCTAAATGGAAGCTGGGAAGTGCCCCTCACCTCCCCTGTGTCCTGTCCAGCTAAAGCTTTTGCAGCACTTTACCTCTCTGAAAGCCCCAGAGGACCAGAGTCCCCAGCCTTACCTCTCAACCTGTCCCCTCCACTGGGTAGTGGTGGTCAGTTTTTACTGCAAAAAAAAAAAAAAAAAAGAAAAGAAAAAAGAGAAAGAAAAAAAAAAAGTGAATGCAGGCTGATAGCTGAGACTGTGAGACTGTTTTTGTCCACTTTTCTGAATCACTGCCACTTGGGTCAGGGACTGCAGCCATTGCCACCCTTGGCCCATCTCTCTGGGTGCGTGCCTTGAGCACACCTGTAAAAAGTGCCATGTGCAATTGTCTTATCTTTCATGATCTAGGCTTTGCCTAGGGATCACCACTCCTTAATGGGCTGACTGGGGCAATGAGGGAAAGCTCCTTTGCTCCTGTAAGGCCGTAAGTGGCTGTTAACAGATTTTCAAATGCCTGAAGAGATTGCTGAGACCTGCTAGAGTCATATGTTTGGGGAATTAAGTCTTCATCCTAGACAACAAGCTACAGATGCAAACTGCAGTATTTTTGGAGGGTCAATCGGCAAGGATATGATTGTCCCAAAATGGAGTTCATCGATCCTAGCTTTGCTTTAGAATGTATATAAATAAAAGTGCAGTCCTCTTCTAATGGCCACAGTTGGTTTAGCCCAGAAAGTCCAAATTAAAGGAAATAAATTCAGTTTTATGTTAGCCTTCCTTGGTGCATCAGGGTGTCAGTGGAAATAGGATGGGGTGGGATGTGTGTGTGTTTTGTGTGTGTGTGTACACATGTGTTTATATATACATGTGTGAGGGAAGGTGTGTACCTATATGTAGGATTGTGACCAGACAGAAAAGAGTGGGAATCTCCAGGGTGTTTGAATCAGCAACAGATTTGTGTTTTCTAACATGCATTTAGTTGGAGAGGCATGGTTCTGTTTGTTTTGTTTTGATCTAATTTGCCATTGGAAATAGGTACAGGTACACAGAGAAGGAAGAACTAGAAAAGTGAAATCCATGAAACTAAATGAGCAGCTGTCAGGAATCCAGTGTGACTGAGCCTACCTAGCTTATTAAATCTAACCCAGGGTTCCTTGAGTCCAAGACCGCTTCGATTATTAAGATTTTGAATGTTCAGAGGGGTGAAAAGTCTGTTTTCTGGACGTAAGCAGGAGCTGAGGATAAAGCCAGAGGCCAGTGGATTAGGTGTGTGGAATGTGGATGGAGAGGGCTTGTGTGGGATGTGGCCAGGGAGCAAGTGAGGAAGGCCATTTCTAAATGGTCTGTAAAAACTTAAAGATTGGATAGACAAAAGGAAATGGAGAGATTAAAAAATTGGGGAAACTAGTTATCTGTGTTGCTGACTTTGGGACCCATCCAAGACTCTTGCCCTTGGGGTGTTCCATGGTGGTTTCTTCCTGCCTGGGCCCCACCCTTTCCCCAGTTCAGGCCCTCCCTGAAGGACTAGTTTGTATATTGGCATCCTCCCTAGTGGGACCCAAACCAGTGCACACTTGGTGTGTGGAGATGGGAGACAAAGGACAGATCTAGGAGCCTTGAAGGATCACCAGCCACCAACCCTCCATCAGGGCCAACTGGGCAGGAAAGGGAACATTGCAGACCTGATTTCCCAACGATGTCACCCTGTCCTCCCTCCTTGCTTCTTGCTCTGCTAACTCAACTCTGCCTTCCTCTTTTTCATTCTTCTACTCTGCCCTATATGGAGGACAAATGGACACCAGGGGTGCTGACCTTATTGGTGCCTGCCCCAGCCTGCCCCAGGTGCCAGCAGGCTCTCGTGCACAGGAGTCTCCCACAGTTATGGAGCCAGGAAAGAATTTCTCCACACTGGATGGACTGTATATTGGGATTAAAAATTATATTCCTTATATTCCTGCTTATATCAATGCTCTCTCTGTAAAACCTCTTCCTAGCCTCATTTCTCTCAATGGATCTTGTTTAGGAGTTGTATTCCTTTTATTTACTCTTTGCTTGACTGCTTCCTCCTAACCCTCTACCTGCTAGCCCTCTACTTCCTAAAGCTGTGTGTCATTAACTCTGTTGGATCAACTCTCTGGGAAAAGATTCTGTTAATGTAAGTGCACTTACTCCCTGGATGTTGTCACTAGTCTAGTGGCTTTTGCTAAATAAATCTTTCTTATTTCTAAAAGCTTTTCCATTGTATTTTCTTGCTGCTTCTATTGTACCTGCTCCTTCTCTCCCCCTCACTTCCACCCCACTTCCCAAGCCAAGTGGCATCAGCTCTGTGACATGGTTCCCAAAGGTATGGGATTGAGGAAGGATTCACAAGTTCCCTGTAGGAGGAGAGGAAGATGGTGGCTTCATTTGCACTTTATATAGATCAGCCCTGCGGGATCAGAGGTATCAGTGGTTCTTAACTAGGGATGATTTTGCCTCACCAGGGGACATCTGACAATGTCTAGAAATGTTTTTCGTTGTCACAAAGCTACTGGCATGTAGTGAGTGAAGCCAGGGATACTGATCAATATCCTACAATGCACAGGACAGCCCCCCACAACAAAGAATCATCCAGCCCCAAATGTTAGTAGTCCTGAGTTTGGGAAACTCTCATCTACACCCATTTTTGCTGACTCTGCCAATCCCAGGTTTTTTCAAACTCCAAATATCATTAGAATATGTGGGTAGTAGCAACCAGTTTGTTTTTTGATTTTGAGTTTTGGGGCTTTTTGTTTTTTGGGTTTTTTTTTTAAGGCAGGGTCTCACTGTCGCCCAGGCTGAAGTGCATGATCATGGCTCACTGCAGCCCTGACCTCCCTGGGCTCTGCAATCCTCCCACTTCAGTCTCCCAAGTAGCTGGGACTACAGGTGTATGCCACCACACCCAGCTAATTTTTGTATTTTTTGTAGAGACGGGGTTTCACCATGTTGTCCAGGCTGGTCTCAAACTCTTGAGCTCAAGCGATTCTCCCGCCTTGGCCTCCCAAAGTGCTGGGATTGCAGGCATGAGCCACCACGCCTGGCCAGCATCAAGTTCTGAGTGCTTGAAAAATTACTACATCATAGATATTTGCCAATATAACTGTATAATTTTATAATCAAGATTATACAGCTCATGCCTGTGATCCCAGCACTTTGGGAGGCCGAGGCAGGTGTATCGCTTGTGCTCAGGAGTTTGAACCAACCTGGGCAACATGGGGAAAGACCGTTTCTACAAAAAAAGCATAAAAATTGGCCAGGCATGGTGGTGAGTGGCTGTGGTCCAAGCTACTTGGGAGGCTGAGGTGGGAGGATGGCTTCAGCCTGGGAGGCGGAGGTTGCAATGAACCGAGATCACGCCACTGCACACTCCAGCCTGGGTGATAGAGCGAGACCCTGTCTCAAGGAGAAAAAAAAAAAAAAAGGTTAAACTATTTCACTGACTTCATGACTAAATGCCTGAAATATGTAGTTGGTAGAAGTCTGAATAGGCCTATTCTAGAAATGTTCATAATGGGGACAAAACAGGCTCCTCCTCATACCTACCTCAGGGGGGATCATGGTATCACTGCAACACAGCTCAGCACGGAAGTCCTGACTCATGGGAATGTAGGCTTCCCTGCAAGGAGTACAAATGAAAGGGCAGAGGAGGTTGGTAAAGGAGGGAGAGTTTGAGGAATTAGGAGCTGTGGATCTCACAGAACAAAGAGAAGCCAGGTCACTTTGGCTGGAACTTTTAGCCATTTTGCAGGCAGAGGACGTGTTAAGCCTGATGCTTCGTCAGGCCCAGGCTAGAGAGAAAGTTGGAAAGGTTAGATCAACTGGGTTCACATGCCCTCTGTTCTTTTCTGGCTAAGTGAACTGAACTGAGCTTTGTATTCTCATCTCGAAAATGGGGATAGTATAAACCACAAAAAGCTACTCTGGAGAGTAAATGAGATTGCATTTTAAAAGCACCTGGTAGAGAGTACCTGGCAGTGACCCAGGATAAGGGAGCTTTCTTCTACCTGCACCTGTGCTGCTCAGTACAGTACTGGGTGCTTTTTCCTGCTCTGCTAAAACTTAGCTCTGTACTGAGAAAATTCCTGGGGTTACATTGATACAACATCAAATGTGGAATGTGGAAAACGCCTTGTCTTTAGGGAGAAGACACTAACCACAAGCACCTGGCAGGCAGGATGGGCACGTGCTGTGGCACCTGGGCTCAGTCTCTGGCCTGCTTGTTTTCCTTCTCGTGATGTGTTCTATACCTGTTGTACAGATGCCATAGAGAAGGGAGCATGGGATTGGCAAAGGACAGGAGACAACACTAGCTCAGAGTGAGGACTAAAAAGATTGCCCAGAGCCAATCATCTGCCCTTTCAGGGCACAGGGTCCTGGGAGTGATGTCAGGGCTGCCTGGAGACCCCCGCACACTGGACTGGACAGGTTGTGACCTTGTCCTGGCTCCCAGCCCAGTTGGAGCCTGGCAGCCAAGTGGACTCTGGGATGCAGGCTGGGTGGGGTTGGGGATAGAATGGGGTGAGAAGCATGGCTCAAGGGCACAGGGCGGGAGTGGTCTCACAGCATATGATGTGATAGGGATTGAGCCCAGCCTCCCTCCCACTCTGTGGGGAATGAGAGAACCACAAATGAGATTTTCGCAGCACACTGATAAGCAGAGCAGCTCTGCTAAGCCATAGGTAAGACTCTGGAGGAAAAGCCATTGGGAGGTGAGGCAGGACCCTCCAGGCCACCTGCTGGCCAAGCCCTGGGGGAGGCAAAGACCAGGGGAGGGTTTGTGCCGGGGTCCCTGCAAGGCAGTGCCCACTGTAGTGGAGGGGCCACTGAGTCATCAGGGAGGTGAAGCAAGAGGTAAATGAGGCCTGAAAGGATGACCAGCAAGCATTTGGTGCTTTTTAAGAATCATGTTACAGTCAAGATAGATGTCCTTGCTGCATCCCTGATGCTTATCCGTCTTTCTGGGTCAGATGGACCGGGAGGTTCACTCAGAAATGGAGGAAGAGTCAGGGCTGCCTGCTGGGCACATTACTTGGTAACAGGAAGCAATAGGTTCCCATGTTTACCTGCCCATTTTCACCTGGCTCAAAGCAGCCATGAAAAGATGTCTCCTGGGTCAAAACTGATTCTATTCTGCGCCAGCACAAGATGGCTGTTCTAAGTGAATGATGGTGGCACATGTGAGCTCAGCCCTGGGTGAGCTCAGTCTCATCTGCCTCTGACCTGGCATATACTCAGAGGCATATTGTCCTCCACATTCCCCTCCTCAGAAGATCTACCATCAAAGAAGCCTTTAAAACTGCAGAGATTCTTCCCCATGCAAATAGGAAAGGGCATCCAGCTCCTTATTCCCAAGGTGGGGCAAGGACTGAACACACAGGGACCAAGCAGAGGCCAGGATCCTAGAGCAGTGCTTCTCATAGCTGAACTGCATCAGAGTCACCTGGAGGGCTGGTTAGAATACAGACCACCAGCCCCAGCCCCATGGTTTCTGATTCAGCAGGTCTGAGGAGGGCCTGAGAGTTCCCAGGTGATGCTGGTACTGCCGGCTGGGCACCTTACTTTGAGAACCTCTGCCTTAGAGGATATTCCCAAACTTCAGGTATTGTCTTTATTTTTAAAAGAGAGAAAGGGGAGGGTGTGTGCCTGGTGTTGCTAGGCAACCATTAGCCAAAGGGGATGGGAGCCGGGTTCTGGGAAGGACAGCAGGCTATACGGGGTGACCTCAGACTGGACAGAAGGCTGTGACTAACTTTATTGGCATCTCTCTAGAGACATAAGTAGGCTTTACCGCCAATTTACCTAAGGTGTTCAGCAGGACTATTGAAGGCCTGGCAGCTGCCCGAGGAGAGCCTGTCTCCGAGCCAGGCCTTCTGCTCCTTACTCCAGAGGGCTTTGAGCTTCCGGTAGTACACCTTGCAGCTGAAGCCCTCCCTGAAGCCTCTCTTGATGTGGCTCTTAAGGAAGTCCAGGGTGGGGTACATGCGGCAGCAGGCCGCGCACTTGTAGCCATTCTGCTGTGCTGGGTGCCACCTGGAAGCCATTAGGATGTCCTGAGATGTGATGGAGTCCAGGCCACGCCTGGATTTCTTGGTGGCTTCTCGAGGACAAGTGTTCTCTGCGGAGGAAGAGGACGAACAGATGCTCTCAGCCATGTCCTCGGAAAGGCAGTTGTCCCACTTGCCCTCATCCTGTTGCACCTCTGGGAAGTCGTAAGCTTCCAGGTGGCTCTCTTTGTCTGCACACACAAAGTAGCTGTAGGGGGAGAACCAGGGCCGGTAGATAGTGCAGTTCCGCCTCAGCTTCTCTCCATGCTGGGTGTCCCCCAAGCTGCAGTCTGCAAAGGAAAGGACCAGGTCAGAGCCTCTGGCAGGGAGCAGTGGAACCAAGGATGCCAGAGCAGCAAGGCAAGAAGGCAGACATCAGGCATGTCCTCGGTTACCTCCACCCCACCACGATTGCAGTCCTGAGAGCAGACGCAAGATGGTGGGAAGAGCAGCCGAGGGCATTCCTTCTCACTGCATTGTTTTTCTAGGGGTACAAAGGGCCACTGGATCTTGGGATGGGAGAGGCTGCTTTTAGTTAGTAAGCCTTGGTATTTGTCAAGTCCTTCCCTTCCTGGAGACACCATGTCCACTGACTCCTCTAAGGATAGACACAGACAGGTGACCCAGCGGACAGCCAGACCGGCGGCCTCCCATAGTCCTTCTTTTCGCCACCCGTGGCTGTGACCCTTTTTGCAGCCTCACTACCCATCTTGAGGGGTAGCCTCACTACCCTCCACAGCCCACTCAGCCAGAAGCTCTTGCACCAGCTTCAGAGACAGCAGAGGGGAGGCATGGCGAGAGCCCCAGGCCTGTGGGTACCAAAGGAAAAAGGGCCAGATAGGAGGCTGCAGGTGACAAGGCCACGCATGGGGGTCCAGCTTCCAGACACCTCTGCTCCCTTAGGGAAGCAGCCCCTATTCATCCTTAGCTTCTCATACATTCCCACCCAGAGTCAGAGAAGGCCTCACCTGGTGAGAGCACTGTGTTTTGTATCCCTTGCCGGACAGTGATGCTTTGGTACTGGGGTGGCAGGGCCTGAGCTGGGCTGGATGCCTCAGTGGGTACCGCTGTCTTTGCAATGTCTGGGTCACAGAAGAAACACTGGTGAGCTGAGCAAGGTTGGGATTCCACTTCCTGGGACTCCCCCAGGCATACCTAGAGGCTCAACCTCTGTACTTCAAGGCATCTCAAAGCTGAAACAGAACAGTGACCTCTCGAACTCAGCCAGGCAGAGCTATTCTGGATGACATCCTGGGGAATTCTGAATGGGGCCATTTCTTTCAGGCCTCAGAAACATCCTCTGCAAAGTGGGATTTATGATGTGGCCCAGATGACACCTCTGTGCCTGGCCTGCCCCTCACCTGACCCTCTTGCATCTCATCACACGGATGACTTCACTCTACATTGCCAGTCTCCTGGGCATCCTGGGACCCAGAGTCACAGGCCGCAGAGCAATGTTCCATGCCCGCTTTGAGGATTGTCCAGTTGAAATATCTCACACCCACAGTCAGGGTTCCCGTGGACCATCACTGCACGGCACACCCTGGAGTAGCTGCTAACACTTGGACAAAAAGCTGACCTGCCTCAAATCCCAGAAAAAAGCTGTGTTCAGTTTGGGGGACAAATTTATAAATGTCATGGATATAGGCAAATGAATGCTTAGGAGGCCTACTCCACTGAGCAGTACTTCTCCATTTTACTGTGCATAGGGATGCCCTGGGGATCTTGTTAATAACGCAGGCACTGATTCAATGGGTCTGGGGTGGGAACCTGAGATTCTGCATTTCTAAAAGCTCCCAGACGACGCAGATGTTGCAAGTCTAAGGACCGTATTTTTGAACAGGGAGTCATCAGGGTGTCCAGCTTTATTCCAGGATGTGCTCATCAGTTCACCCTGCTGCTTAGGCTTCTCTGATGGTTTGCTAACTCCAAATCCTCTACAAGCTTGTCAAAACAGAGGTAAAACTAGTTTCTACTCTGTGTAGACATACGACCACCTTGAGATTTCATGCACACTCTAGGGGGAAAAAACTTGCTGATAAATGGAGGCTGAGGCAGAAGAATCGCTTGAACCCAGGAGGCGGAGGTTGCAGTGGCCAAGATTGCATCATTGCACTCCAGCCTGGGTGACAGGAGGGAAACTCTGTCTCAAAAAAAAAAAAAACAAAAGTTTACCCCTTTCTTCCCTTAACAAAAATCAATACACAGCAATAACTACTTACCACAAATTTTTTGAAAAATTATTTTCTCCCCATACATAATTTGACTTTCTCACTAAACCACGTTACATGGTCCTGTAACATGCTCTGGTAGGGTACTCAATTAAAAGCTTCAAAAAAACCACATCTTTGTGGCCCTAGTGGCACCAGAGTTTACCTGGCAGGCTGGTGGCACGAGAGAACATAATGTCGGGAAAAGCACTCAGGGCGGAGGAAGAGATTGGAGGTCCAGAGATGCTGAGGAGTGAGAAGTTCTCCATATTCTGACCACTGCGGTGTACAGAGATCACACGCCTGCTCTGGAGAGGCAGGCTGGCTGGCTTGTCCAGAGGATAAACATTCTGAGCGCAGTTGATGTCACAAGGCACATGATTCCACTACCCAACTAGGTTACCCTTTGGAAGATGAATGGAGTCTAACTGCAAGCAAGATTAAAATGTGTAAAGATTGTTTTTGACTTGCCATTGCCCAGCGGCAGGCCCTCATTGAGAAGACCCAGAGAGAAGAAAATAGTAGAGATACTATAGTGATGCTGTCTGTTTGTCCCCTTTTATCTTTATTATCGTCATTTTTCTGTGTTCACACTGTCTACCCCCAGCCCTCCAGCCCTGGAAACCTCTGTCCTGTCTGAATAATCTCCTTCCTTTTCTTCTCCTTTATCAGCCTAATCTCTGTCAGCAAATATTTTTATTGTTTTGTTTTAGTTTGTTTTTTGAGGTTTATATATTTTTCACATTTTCTTTGGAAATTCAAATTTATAAAAGTTGCAGAAAAGGCTGGGTGCAGTGGCTCAGGCCTATAATGCCAACACTTTGGGAGGCCAAGGCGGGTGGATCATTTGAGGTCAGGAGTTCAAGACCAGCCAGACAAACATGGTGAAACCCTGTCTACTCAAAATATAAAATTTAGCCGGGCGTGATGGTGGGCACCTGTAATCCCAGCTACTCAGGAGGCTGAGGCAGGAGAATCGCTTGAACCCGGGAGACAGAGGCTTCAGTGAGCCGAGATCGTGCCATTGCACTGCAGCCTGGGTGACAGAGCAAGACTCCGTCTCAAAAGTTGCAAAAATAAAATCAATACAAAGAACACCCATATGCCCTGTATCCAGATTTTCCTATTAACATTTTACCCGATTTGCTGTATCAGTCCCCTTCCTCCTGCCCCCTGCCCCATTTGTATGTGTGTATACTTAATTTTTTCTCTGAACTATTTGAAGGTAAGTTATAAACACTATGTCCTTTTACACCTAAGTACTTCAATGTGTATTTCCTAAGAATAGGGACCAAATATTGGTTTCAGTGGTTGGTGCTCTTTTTAGCGAGTGACTAAAACAAAAATGGGTGACTTAATACTGTTTTGCTCATTGCTTAAGTCAGTTTGATGGGGAGACTCTGGGACCCCAGAGAGGCAAGGTTGCCTCTTCGTTTCACTTGTCCTGTAACAACATTGTGCACTAGCAAGGTGTGGATAAGGTGAAAGATGATTGTGACTCGGAAGATAAACTGAAGGCACCCCTTTCTAGATTATCACGTGTCAACTAGATACAGAACAGGGCTGCAGATCTAAATGGCAGGTATGTTTATGCTGCATGGGGAGCGATGGCCACTCTGGAAATAGTGATGGGCTTCTTTTGAGGTGCTGTCAAGCATGTGTGACTGGAGTGTGAGTTAGCTTCTGCACATGATAGCCCAGAGTTGTCTTCCTGTGTGTATTTATTCACAGTACTGAAACATTCGAAGGACAATGGGAGAACATGATTCCCCTCGTGTTCCTCCCAGATAGCCTGGTTTGGAACATTAACATGTGTTGGAAAGTAAGTTGAAGCCACATACTTTGGCAATTTGGGGGGTATCAGCAATTTCATTTGGTCCATTATGGTGTAGAGAAAGCTCATGAGTCTGGGCATCAGTTTATGTGACTTCTAACCCCACTCCGCCATGAGCTACCTGTGTGATACTGGGCAAACCTCTCTGCTACTTGATTTTCCTATATGATTAGTTTAGACTCTGAACTCGAGTGGATGAATGTCTTCCTGGCTAAAACCCAGTGAGTGGCATGTGGACAGTAGCATACCTGTGAGTGGTGCACACAGGGCCCCGAGGACTTGGAATTGCATTCATTCTGTCTTGACCCATCACATTCCTCCCACTGCCAACTTCAGACTTTCCCACTGGAACCTCAGACTTAATGTAAAGATGCTCAACATACTGGGGGGAAATGTGGAAGGCGGAATCTCTCAGTGCCTGTGTAGAGTTTTTAAAATGCGACCCAGTTTTGGTTTAGTCACTGAAAAGTTTGTGGGAGCCTGGTGGTTCCCGGGTGCGCACCACTCTTTGTAGCAGGTCCCCTGTCTTGTGTGCTGTGTCCTCCCGAGGTTTGCTGTTGCTGGTGGCCCAGGTGGTAGGTGACACTCTCAAAGCGATTGGTCACTATGTAAAATGAGTCTTTCTCTTGTTTGCTTCCCACCTGCTTTCCAAGCCCCTTTCTCGGACAGGTAAGATATCCCGTTGTTTTGTGGATGACTTACATTCCCAGATGCCCTCCTCTGCTTGGGTGTGTGCATGTTGGGGGGTGCTGTGGGGAGGGCCACCTGGCTGGGGTCCAGTCATCTCTCTCTCCTCCATTGCCATTATTTTCTGAATCATCAAGCCTGTAGTCCTAAAGCAAGAGAGGCAATGTGTGGGGGTCATTAGCGTCATCATCAAGAAGGACCCATTGCACGTCCTCAGACACAGGGATAGAGGGACCCCCAGCCAGAGGCCCACTTTCACTTGAAATAGAAGGGCAGTTCTCAAGATCTGACCTCCAGAGCCTCTGAAGACCACTCACATAGAGGGGTTTTTGAGTGGTTTTTATAAATGGAAAAAGACTTGTGGGCAGTTTCCCTGTAGTGTCAGCCCGTCATGCAATTTTTAAGAATTCATGTAAAAGTCAAATTCAATTAAACAAACTTATTAAATGCCTACTATCATGCAAGACCCTAAGGTCGGCATTGTAGAAGATAAAGAAACACTTCAGATGCTGTGGCCCCTCAAGGAGCTTACCATTTTAAGACAAGGTGTATTTACTGGGAAGACTTAGACAAGGGTAAAGGGAGTGCATGGTAGGCTATTTTTACATTACTTGACAATTCAGTGCATTATAGACTATGTTATGAAGGGTAGAGAGCAAAAAATACAGAAAATCTAAAATGGTGCATAATCCAGAGTTACGTTTATTACAAAGAGTGTTTTAAAAATAATAATAGCTTATAATTTACTAATCACCTTGACAGGTGTTTTTGGTGCTTGCTTTTTTGAAAACGAGTATGTCTACTCTGAAAAGTCACTTTAAACCAGTAAGGAGACCGCCAGGGAAATGTCTGATTTGGGAAGTGGTGGCAATTTGCCTTCCCCAGGCATTTCGTACAGTTTCATTGTTGTCTATGTGCTTTCTGGTTTGGAGGAAAATAGTTAAATGGTTTGGTTTCCAAATCTTCTTTGCTAGTTTGCAGATGACATGATTAAAGAAAATAAGACAGATGTGGGACCCGACAGGCAAATTGTGCCAAAGTGGAGGATGTGGCAAGATACACACTTAGGAGAATAATCAGGAGTTGATGACCCTGCTTGCTGTGGAGCGGGCTGGAAGCTTCTGCTGGTGTGGCGGGTCTATCCGGAGCCCAGCCAGCTCGGGCCCTGGGTCCGAGGGATGCTGTCATGCTGTTCCCTGGCAGGTCCTCATCCTGCAGTGGTGAAGGCCACAGGGCTCATCTGCAGAGACTAGTCTCCACTCCTCTTCCCACAGGTTTTCCTCCCTGCCACCCAAAGGCCCTTAGAATATGATGTATCTAGGTAGTCAGCCTAGAAAGGATAGCACCATTCATTCATCTCTAAGAACTGGACAAAGGTGACAGTAAACTATGCATTTCTTAACCAGCTTCAGTTAGATTAAGCAACCCTCCCTTTACTATCTCTACACAGCCCTCTATCAAATCCATTGATTGTACTTACTGATTTGATTGCAATGCTATCCCTTCCTGGACTTCAAGGACAGATCTTGGTGCTTGTCCTCCAGGCTCAAAATTGTTTTATTTGGGAAACAACTGGAGAAATCTAAGGATGAACTTTGATAATGTAAAGGAATTGCAATACTGGCATAATCATATAGAAAACTCTTATTATTGGCTGGGCGCGGTGGCTCAAGCCTGTAATCCCAGCACTTTGGGAGGCCGAGACGGGCGGATCACGAGGTCAGGAGATCGAGACCATCCTGGCTAACACGGTGAAACCCCGTCTCTACTAAAAATACAAGAAAATTAGCCGGGCGAGGTGGCGGGCGCCTGTAGTCCCAGCTACTCGGGAGGCTGAGGCAGGAGAATGGCGTGAACCCGGGGGGTCGGAGCTTGCAGTAAGCCGAGATCGCGCCACTGCACTCCAGCCTGGGGCACAGAGCAAGACTCCATCTCAAAAAAAAAAAAAGAAAACTCTTATTATTAAGAGATTTAAACTTAATGATGACACCTTCCAGTCATTCACACAGAGAAAAAGACTTGTTTTCTTGAGATAACAGATATAGTGGCCTTTATTGCATTCTTCTCTCAATTTGTTTTATGTTTAAAAACTGTCATTTCGGCCGGGCTCAGTGGCTCATGCTTGTAACCCCAACACTTTGGGAGGCAAAGGTGGGCGGATCGCCTAAGATCAGGAGTCCAAAACCAGCCTAGCCAACATGGCGAAACCCATCTCTACTAAAACTACAAAAAATTAGCTGGGCGTGGTGGTGGGCGCCTGTAATCCTAGCTGAGTGAGCCAAGATCACGCCACTGCACTCCAGCCTGAGCAACAGAGTAAGACTCTTGTCCCCCCCAAAATAGTAATAGTAATAATAATAATAAATGTTTGTATACTCATTTAAAAAAAAAAAAAAAAAGGATAGCACCACTGAAACTACAAGAAAGGTTTCCACTGGCCCAGGATGCAGCAGTGCAGGGCAGAAAGAACTGCTTTACACAAAAATTCTGCAGAAGAAAAAGTACACCCTAACCCCAGTTACTCTTAGAAGAGGCTCTGAGAATAGACACTTAGCAGAGGTGTTGACAAGGAAAGGAGCCTAGTGATCAAATGATCACTTCCCTCAGACTGACAACATATCAGGGGTAGTTGGTGTAGACAGAAACCTTGACCCAGGTTCCAAGGCCTCAGAGTGGGTCTGGCTGCCTGATGACTGAGCTGGATTTCCAGATAGGGAGAGGATGGCCAAGTGTGAGTGTGTGGACAGCATGGCTTAGAGCCTGGAGCTCCAGTCATTTCAATAACAAACTTTTAAGCCACCTTGGCCACCAC